ACTGTGTTAGATAAAATTCAACAGTGCGAGTGATTTTTCAAGTATTGATCACCAAAAGATTGAACTCTCGAAAGGGCAAGGCCATAAAAAAGGATAAATTGCATCAGTCGTGGGAACTACGAGCTGTTCTGACAATGAGACAGAAAATAGAGATCTTGTAGTACCAAGAAGAAGATAACATTTAGCAATTCAGGTTGAAATTCCATAGATTTAATCCTGTTCATAAAGGAGCTCAATTTAATGGGCAAACCGAAAATTGGATCAGAGCTTCGAATTATATCCTTACTTGACATGTGGTGTCTGTATCCACTGAAAATTTATTAGCAATAACAATAAGTCGATATGAGTTTCTAATGTTGAAAAAGAAGCACGAGCAAGACCAAAATAAGATGGCGAAGAGGTGAACTAGAGCTAGAAGTACGGTAATGCGCCAGAAGTAGCAGTCGGCGACAGCGCTGATGAGCACCCCTTTTCTAGGCTGAATTTTCATCTACAAATCTTCCCTACTAAAGATTTTCTCAAAGATGGTTCTGATGCAAGTTGATGACAAACATACGTAAATACCTATGGCCTACCATATGGCAGGTAGAGGTTCAACCACTACCACAATCCAACACAAAATCGCTGTATTGAACACAGAAGGAAAAATCTCCTTCACACTTTGAACCGCAGGTATCCCGTACGGGAGGGAAGAAAAGCATAAAAACGCCCTGGAGTGCGCCACACATCCAAAATCGTGGTGGTTTTGAATGCGATTGAAATAATATACGTTTACTTACGGGGTCACAGCATACACATAAGCGCTTTACCTTCCAAAACACGTCTGGTACCAATCATCCGACCAGAATGCTATAATGCGAATAATCAAGAGCCAAGATCAGTCATCTGTTATACCAATTCCAATTTTTTGATCCCCTTCCTCTCTAAATAAGACCCCGTCCAACGGTCGATGGCTATCAGTAGTGCCCTTGAACCTGCCTATCGCCCGACAAAATCCAACTCCAACAAAACAGCAATGTCTGCGCATTTTTATCAATTTCAGCATATCTTCTCCACTAAAAAGAAAAATACTATCCTCCAACCCTTCTTCAGACCCAGAATTATGAATACGGCCTCCCTTCGAAAATTCGTGCATTATCTATCAATGTCCAAGCATGTGTTTTCTTATGACGCCATCGTTGCTCTCTAAAAAAAAACTACATTCCTCCAACCCCTTCCTTCGACCGACAATTATAAATGCGGCTCCTCTCGGCAAATCTCTAAACGTACAGATCGAGTCTGCGAAGGAAGTAGAGGACTTATCCATGGTGACGTTTAGATGCTGCGCACGAAGATCTGTGACCACTCGCCTTACTCGGTGATTAGGACAGCCGATGTCAAGTCAGTGTTTTTCTCTTTCTAGGCAAACGTGGCACCAAATGACCGGCTCCAAAAGGATGGCTGGCTTGGTTGGCCTGCACCGTGTGCGATACGGATTCTGGGCCCCAAACCGTGCGTGTAGTAAACAGCGTCATTTGCCACCACACATTTCCGCCCTCACCTTACTGACATAAAAGTGTAAGAGTAATTCAATTCGTTCACGTTTAGCACGCCTAAGAATAGCAGGAGAAAGCTCTAGAATGAGTGCACTCCTTCCTTCCCTATGCCCTTCCCACCTTAGTCGTCATTTGTGAATCTGGACATTCCTCCTCCTTCTGGACTTCTCCACTAATTGAGAGTGACTACATCAGGCTTTCCTCAATCCATTATTCTCTCCGCATCTCTTTATATTCGCCTATTCATGTACGAAGGGTTATTATTTGAACCTTCCTCTACCGTTTTCCAGGTTCTGTCTCTTTCTGCACTACTTCATGATCATGAGGCAGTGAAATTTTCAACCCCATAAGCACATTCCATTATCTCTGAAGAGCAGAACCACAGGGAGAAGTGGCAGTAAATGTGCAAGTGGCAACGGAAGGATCCCATGTTGAAGTAGTCAGTTGTAATCAAACTTACATAGCTAGATGTCTTTGTAAGGTAAGGCAGTATCTAACTGTGAGGTAGCCTTTCTGAGATTTCGCCGCCCACACTCAGATGCGTTCTCCTCCGAATTCACACGACTTGTAATTCAAAAGTCAGGTTTTTCAAAGGTAAAGCGTACAAGTGGTGTAGTGGCAAGTGGCGCTGTTTACCACACCGTCCCGGGATCAAATCCTGAGTCGTGCCCGTCCGAGCTAATCAATCCCTTCATCTCTCCAATGTCGGTCAATTGGTATAGGACTTCTCTGGGAGGATAAGAACTTGTATGTCGGCTGGCCCCCGAAACTCATTGCATAGTTCGAATCGCAAATTAAAGTGCCGCGCTACTTTTCTGAGAAGAATTGTCACCCACCCCGCTGATTGATCAATGTCGAATGCGAAGCCTAAAACATTCACCTAGCAGGAAAAACCCATCAAAATATAACGCATACAACGCTACTAACGCTGACTACGAATACTTTATAGAACATGCGAGGGCGTACGTAGTACAATTTGAAGTTCATGACCTTACCAGAGAGATCTGGGTACAATTAACCCGACAACGAATGAAGGAAGACTTTTTTGAATCTAATAGTAAAGCAAGATTCCACAATTGGACAACACGTGTGGTAGCGGTATTTTGACACGTTAACTTTAATCTGATAAAGATCTACACCTGTGCATAATTCCGAGTTACATTCTGCGATAAAGTACCCACCATGAGGTCAGCATATCCAAAACATTCTCGTAAGTCTATATAAATTGGCGACTTCATTCCACTCTTTAGCACAAATTCACCAATTTGAATACCTGAACGAAAGTACTCCCTTTCAATACAATTTCTATTTGGAGACTGCATATTTTGACCCAGCTCATACCTTCGAGTTCAACATAGAACGAAGCAAATTACGCTGACGAGCACCGTTTAAAGATTGTTCTACCAGCAAATTCATTTGTAGATCGTCTATGAAAGAGATGTAACTGAACGCCAGAAATGCGAGTGCTTTCCCACAAGCTCAATAAAATTCTCGGCGCCACTCCGGCAAGGAGGGGGGGGGGCATTATGATTGCAAGTATGTCAGTGTGGCTGATGATGGGAAGTTGACGGCAGCCACTTGATGCCCCCTTACTGGATGACCGCCAAATTCTTTTTTTTTTTTCGAAGCAATGTAGTGAAGTAGAGGACGCCTAACTTCGACACCGTGATGATGATTGACTGGTAGAAATTTATGCTGCTGGACAATGCAAAAATATAAAGAATATCACACAATTATTCCAATCAGCACAGAATATCACAGTTTTGGAAAAATCTCCTAGTGTAGACCATAAACCTTTTTGGCATTTGCTGTTGTAACCTCAGCGACCTAAAAGATGTTGCCTATAAAACATCAAAATCTTCTGCAAGAAAGAAAGCGAAACAAAAACGGGTGCAAAGTCTATAAAGGCTAACAGCAGTGTGATGTCGAAAAGACTTCTCATGAACTACACTACATGGAAGGCTTGTATACCGGTGGATTTTCAAGGTAATGGGGATTCTCGAAATTTACAAATACTGTCAAACGGGAAGAGCTGGTAACTTTCATGAAGAGTCGCTAGATAGAGGCGTAAAACTGATACACACTTACTTTTGAGTATGGCAAGTTGTCTCGAACATTAATGACGAGCCTTGGCAAAAACTTGCCTCTTGCGGATCCCTCCCCATGAAGGCAGCTATCATTTCACAAACGGCAGCTAATGCGCATGGTTCGTTTCGATTGAAGGAAGTAAACTAAAAGTATGAACGACATCAATATGAGACTTATCAAAACAAAATGGCAGAATCTCTATCACAATGAAAAAGCATTAAAATTTGGCATAATCAAGAGAAGCTCACTTTGTGCAGCTGTTTCGTTGGTTCGGTGAACGCCTCTTTCACATCCGCAGGTAATTTTTTATCGTTGATTTTTGGATACATAAATGGCGCATCAGTTTCTATGAGTAGCCGATCCAAGAGGAATGGCACCATTGCGAAGAGCCGTCTGCTACACCGTGTGCAGGCGTCTTTCACGAAGCTCTGCGAAAGAAGAAGTCGTATTTGAGTTCAAAAACAAATAAAATGATCCATTTAGTATGCCGGAATACAAACACACCTGTCAACCCAATATACAAACCCATATCAACATATTTCTTCGCCTCGTCCTCAGTCCCAGTAAAGCAATGAATGACAGCTGGTGGCAATCTATTAACCAGCTAATTAGCAAAAGAGGACGTCTCCACCGAAAGTGACCTTTGGAAGAAATCACCTTTCTCCAGCATCGCCCAAAATTCGTACCATGTCCTCGTGGGCTTCGCGTTCGTGGATGAATAAGGCTTTTCGTAATTCACATGCCAATTCCACCCAAAAAAGATTTTATTGAGCCTCTAATAATAAAAAGCCAAAATTAGCTCGACTCTCACCTGTTTTGCAAAAACCTCTTTTTGAACATCCTGTGGAGAAGAAGTTTCTGTTAAAATCCAAGCCCGCATTCTCCCACAGCAACGCACTGCGCATGCGCCTTGAAACAAACAAATTAAAGAAGAAAACACAGAAGAGAGAAAAAAGATGTACCGACTTGCAAGGCTCTCAGATTATCAAGAGTATTATTGTCAAAATCTTTTGCATCATGCGGATGTACTCCTAGAACAACGGAAATGAGAAAAGAACAAGGCGAACACTTCTCTCAGAATAATTACCAGCAGTAAAATAGAGGAATCCAGGCATTGTTTCAGCGAGTTTCATGCTTTCCTTACTGATTTTCTCGCAAGTGCCGGTTATCATCAGCTTCGATATCCCTAAATTATCACCAAAATGGAAGCTTAACAAAGATAAAAGAGCATTTCAAAGCCTTCTGTTGCTGTCAGGTCAAGCGTATCTACACCACTGGAGCTAGAGGGAGCACTGGAATCCTCTTCCCATAACAGCGGCCTTGAGGTATCGCGCCAAGCTCAACAACTTAGAACCAGCAGACAAGATCATAGATGATTGTACTTATCGAATCGGGACCATCCAATTATCACAGTGGAAAATGTCGAACTTTTTGGAAAACCACCCTTCGAGATGACAATTTTGAACTATTCCATCAGATCTGTGGTGGACTTATGTATAGGGATTATTTATATATCTACTCTAATAAAAAAATTACTTGAGTCATTTGGCGCAAATTTGACGTCGGAGACTTGAAGTTTTGACAGAGCTTTGCTGTTTTTTGCGTATAACAGCTGGTGGTGCCGACAAGCGGGTCCCAGGTGCTATCGAAAAATTTCATGAACTGCAAATTTCTAGCGCGATCTTAACGACTCATCCGGTAAGGATGCAGTAGCGCGACAGTTTCTACTGCCTACAGAAATTCCGATTTTCACAGGGAGAGAAGAGAACGCTGGAATGCGTAAACCATTTCGCTTCGGAATTTTATACTCATCCCAGAACTTCCTTTCCTTGAGAGAGATGGGACGAGACTCTTATAATAACCAAGTGAAATGGACAACGATAAAACCAAAATTTGATAGGATTTTCACTCCCAACTGTATCCCAAGAACCTGTCACATAGGTTCAACAGCCCTGGATATTGGATGTTCCTGCTCCTCTGAAAAACTGTTCCAACCTCTATCCCTTAACCAACAGAATCCGTATTATTGGCTTATCCACACTCAGCTATCGCGTCACCTGTGCCACGTGGTGAGGAGGGCAATCGAATTCCGATGGTTCCTTCTACGATGGGCAGCTTTTAAACAAACCTGATTGTTTCGCACGCATCAAGACGTCATCGAGATCACTTTTAAAGAGAGGATGTCCGAGGTTCGCCCCAATGTCCACGAGTTCATAAGGAACAAGTCTTTCTACAGCTTCCATTGACATATTTGCAAATCTGCGACGAATCGATGACGAGATGAGATAATTTAAACGATTAATCTAAATAATCCAACTCATAATGGCATATGAAAACACGAAATTCACGAAAATTCTAGCAGCAACAAAGAATTAGACTTCGTTGCTTAGCCATATCTTTAAAAATTAGCACATTTTCATTAGGCTTGGATTTTAGCGGTATTTCTTTCTGAAGTACAATGGACAAGATCATAGATTGTAGAATTGTAATATTTACTCTCATAGAAACATAACAACATTTTCTACTGATAGTCTATTTGCATGAGCTGTAGGGATGCTTCATATTATTCCCAGCCGAGATTCCTCCTCACTATCGATCATATACGAAGCTTTGAGTTCTTCTTGCTTTTGCTTCAAGAGTATGTCAGGGATGTATCGATAATCCTCATCAGCTTTCTCGTGTTGCTTAAAGGTGACCTGCAAAACGGATCAATCAATTTGAATGCGATCATGGAAAGAAGATAAAGTATTCAAAAGAAATTCCACAAATACAGTATGTTACGTTAAAAATATTTGGATCTACGGCATTAGGAACGAATTTCAGAATGTGATCTCCACGTGCAACCTGTGTTACATTACGTCCAGCCATACCTCGCGAACATCTCACCTCTTCGCTCGCAGATCGGGTATGGAATGGGTCACTGTCGGTCTACACTGCGATCGCGCAATCGCTCGAGAGCCGCAGCGC